TTTTTTTTTTTGAAATAATAAAAGGCCCTTATTTTTTTAAAAAATGTATTCAAACTTACGTCAAGAATAGCAAGACCGCCAAGGCAGCTGATGTAGGTATACCATGTTAGTGATGTTACCGAATGCGTCCATACACCGATCTAAGCTGCATACTTCCACTTAGTGCTTATCACTTATTCTTGCTATCGTTTCAGGGGCTTGCGCAATTTTTCCATTATCCATTTTCCATTCTCCATTATTCAATAGTTATTAAAACTCAAAACTCAAAGTTCCGAATATAACTGAGATTTGAAAATCGTTCATGGCTTGGGCAGGGATTTCAGATCTTCCATGTCTAATAATTTCAGGTTCGAAACGATAAAGCGGAGCACTATCTCGAGCAACACTTGGAGGAAATCAAAGATGATCCATATGCATTAGCGATTGTCACCTATGCGCTTCATCTTGCAAACAGTACCAAAAAAAATGAGGCGTTAAAGATGCTCGAAACACATCGAAAGGAAGATGATGGTGGGTTTGCATGAATTTTTGATTATTGCTTAAATAGAGTTGAATTTCTGAGAAAAAGATGATTTTTTCATATTATTCCTCAGAACTGAGTAAAATTGCTTCTTTCCAACTCTCTGCTTTGTTCTTTTTCCCCCGCTCCGCCTTTTCCATGTCTTCTTCCTCCATCACTTAACGTTTTTGCGCAAACACACACTGTTCACCTTTCTTATTTTTTCCACCTAAGTTTTGCAGAAGGTGGCGTTCACTGGTCCGCAAAGGTTGGCACAGAAAAGCCGAAAGATGCACAACAGTACTTTTATCAGCCAAGGCCGGTGGATGTGGAAATGACATCTTACGTTTTGCTCACCTATATGCTTAACGGTGACACGGTAAAAGGCCTATCAGTGGTGCGCTGGCTCACGTCGCAACGAAATGCACTTGGCGGATTTAGCAGCACACAGGTTGAATGAAAATTCTTTCTGGATTCAGAGCCACACACTCTTATAGTCGATTTTATCGAGTGTAAAAATTCATTTCCAGAAATTATTTCAAAAAAAAATCAGGTACTTACTCCGATACATTAATCAGTAAAATTCATAATTTGGTACTCCGGAGCTATGCAGCTGGCAGCTTTCCTAGTTTCTTTAACCTATTTTACACTACCTGATGGTCAGCTTGTTGCTGATCCTGACGTTCGTTTCGTCAAAGATTTTGAAATAATAGCTCAACGTTTCGTCCAATAGAAGCTTTTAATGCTGTTTTAACTGTTCCAAGATGTTCGCATCGTCTGCAACTTCACCATTTCTAAATCATAGTGATATATCTTATTTTAGAAATACTCATTTCAGTAACTTTCACAAAAAATTAAACATTTATGTGATTGGTTATTTCAGGATACCGTAATGGCATTGCAAGCTCTAGGGGCGTACGCTGAGAAAGTTTATTTACCGATGTTCAACATCAGTGCTACGGTAACGAATGGCGCCGACAAGCATCACTGCAATGTCTCAGCAGAAAATGCTATTGTGCTCCAATCCTACCAGGTATTTGAGTGGTTGGGTCAGAAAGAAATATAAAAAACTAAAGTGCGGTAAAGAAAAGTGTCAGTATGCGAAGGAACTGCAGGTTTATCAAAAAGTATTTGAAAAGAAAATCTCCTTCCCTCCTTCCTCCTCTTTCGCCACTCTTCTCCTCTTTCTTTTTTTGCTCCTCCTCCTCCTTGCCTCCTCCTGTTCCAACTTCTTGCCTTCTCCTTCTTGTCTGCCTTTATCACGAAAAAAAAAGGAAGACATTTGCTAGTTCACCACTGATTCATATTTAAAATGCTGTCCAATGGCACAAGCGATAACCATACCGTAGACTGGTACAGGCGATAATCATACCGTAGATAACCAGACGATAGCCATACCGTCCTAGATCTTAAACACCCAAAGCATACCGTATACATTCAAGTTAGCAAATCAGTTATGTTCCTCTTTTTCATACTTTGATCTTAAAAAAGTGGTCCCTCCAGCAATTTTTTGGGTATTTCTGCGTGTCGCTGAATGGATACGATAGCTAACAAATGATGGGGCGTGTTCCAGGGCAAGAATGACCTTCTGTAGCCACAGGTCATAACCTTAGCAACCACTGACAACTTCACACTGGTAGTCTAGCTGTCATCATGAAACCGCTAATTTAACTAATATAACCAACCGATTTACCGTATTCAGTTAACAAATTTGGATGACGAAGTGGAATTGGAAGCCCGTGGCAGTGGCGTTGCATTTGCGCAGTTACAGTACTCTTATTACCGTACCGCTTTGAAGGACGATCTTCCCTTCTACTGTACAAAGGAAATCCGTGAACTGCATAGCGGCAATCGACTGCAGCTTGATTTATGTTGCAAGTATGCTGTTTTTTCTATCTTTTACTGTACATCCTGCCCAGATGTGTTTGCTGCCATAACGATGCTCCAGAATCGTCTAAGACGTCCCGAATTAGTTGACTGTAAATGAATCAGCCGAAACTTTGGTACATCTAATTCTTTAGTCCAAATCCTGCATCGTGTCATGCTAAATTTATCGGGGTCTTGCGTTGATGCATTGTTAATAATAATTATAGTGATACCTTACCTTGAATACCTTGAACAGCTGTTGTTTCATCGATCTCTGATGTTACGCCATCGAT